TCATGCCCAGCCTGCCACACCCCAGCTCCTGCTCTTGCTCCAGAGCTCTCGGCCACTCCCTGTGCCGTACCACACACGCCATCGGCCATTGAATGGGTCTCGCAAAATGCGGGCTCCCACTCCCAGAGGCAGCAAATTCGTTGCTTCTTCCTGTGTCCATTCCTGCTGCACGCTGATGCTGCAAGGAGGCCGCTTGGCTGTCGTTGCCGGCTTCGCCTTCTTGCTGGAGCTCGGGGCAGCTTTTGCATCGGCCACCTTCTTTTCCCGAACTTTGCGGACAAATTTCTTCATTGTCCTTTGAACCTGGCTGGCAAGGACTCACTGACAGAGGCACTTGCACACGACACACATTTAAATTTACTCAGAGACTAGACTGGCGAGTGTGAACACGTTTCGACGATGGTCCGCAGACCATGCGTACAGTGCTCCGAGGTGACTCGTTTCAACCGACTAACTACCTACTGAGGTCGACGAGTGGTCCCAGAATTGTCTTACTCAACCTGCCTGGAAGACACGGCTTGAAACAAGTAAGTTCACACACTGGAACCTATATGCTTGAAAATCATGAAACGCCAGCATTGTCACAATGGCATGGGCGATGAATGAATATGAATTTGACAGACAGTGCCTTCTCCTCTGCCGCTAGCTGGCCCAGGAATTTGTCTGTCTCCAGCCACTCATCTCGGTTCATGGCATCCTGCACTTCCTCGCTTTGCAGAAGATCCAAGTGCTGCTGCTCAGGCATTCGGATGGCCAGGGACTTTTGCAAAATATTTGCGGCAACCTCCTCGGAACATCGGAGTGCTCCTCGGACAGCATCCCAGAGCTGATTTGTAGCCTCTTCTGGGTCCTCAGCCGCTTCAGCATCTTGTTCGTCCCTGCCTGCGTCACCATCGCCGTCATCAGCTGGCTCTGCGGCAAGTGTCTGGGGCACATCGATGTTCTGGCCGAGAATTTCCTGACGCGAGCGTTGTTTTAAAGTATGGCACCAATCGGTGGTTTCAGATTGAAACTAACTGTCGACTCACGTTGCTCAACCCATGCCTTCCGAATCCTCTTCACAAGTCGGACAGGCAGACCGCTGAAGCCTCGTTGGGCTATGTGCTCCAGTAAGCCGCTGACAGCGGTCTGCTGCACCAAGATGATCCCTTGTAGCTCGGGCAGCATTTTCTTGGTGGCTGTCTCAAGATGGTAGTGCAGCGGCGAGATGACCTGAGTCTCAACGACCTGCCAGTCGGACACATTCAGCACAGTCTCCCACTGCAGCTGCCACTTGACATCGGCCTCGGCCAAGGTCAAAAACTTCCCTCGGGCATTCACGGGCCACAGAAGCACCGCTGACTTCTCCGGGCATTGTCCAAAGACATACCAGATCCGGCCCTGAGGCTGGCCTCGGGCAGCCTTCTTGCGAACAAATGTTCCAGGCGGGATGAGACAAGTTCTCCAAAACCTGGTTTCATTCGGACAAACTGAAGTCAGGAGCATGTTGATTTCTGCCTTGCTGGCCAAAGAGTTGGCATTGAATGTCGGCCACTTGGGCCTGCTCCCAGCCTTGCCCACCAGATCTTTGAACCTGATGGACATAAGGTTAGTAAAGCTCAGGAAGGAAGTTAGGATTGTGTAGCCACTGGCCCCGAAACAGCCAGTCAACAGTCAGGTTGTGAGACCCTCGAGGTTTGCGCCATTTTTACATGAGCAGCCCCAATCAAGGAGTACACTTCCTGTAGGAAAATGGAGCCATGGGTTTGCAGCTGTCAGGCTCCTTGCAAGTTTGGAAGCCCGGGAGCAAACAATAGAACAGCAACACCATGCCAACTTATAAATATTGCTACCCGACACTTATCCACAGCCGACCATCATGCACGATTATTCATATGAGCAAAACAAGCCGGAAGTTCTGGACTTGTGGTCTGATGTGCGAAAGCTACTAGCGTTGCTTCGGCAACAATTGCCCCAAGAGCCACAACCTTCTCTGAATGCAGCAGGCTAGCTAGAGGGCCTAGCGATTCACATTCTCAGTTCCAGAGCATGGGTTCAGACTAATTATGGCTGAACAAACTATGGACACCTATTGTGCTCCACATCACATCGACCAGCAAAATGCCACCAAGAAGCTCGGGCATTGCCTCACGCCTTTTGGAGTGGTACACCGATGAAGGCAGTTTTTCATTCTTGCCTGGAGCAGGGCAAGACGGGATGTCGATTTCAGGGAAGCTGTACACCTCGGACAGCAACCGCTTGCCGATCGGCACAGACCACGCAGCGTCGCCCGAGAGCCTTCTGGTGGGCACCTTTCGCTCGGCTGCCTCGCAGCGCTGAAAGCAGTCCTCGTTCAAAGCTGTTGTCGCCAGGCTGCAACTCAGGTGTCCCAAAAAACGTTGGAGCTCCTGGCTGATCGATTCAAATCTGGACTCGGCCAAGTGAGCGAAAATATCGGCCACCAATGTCTCTGCCATGCAGCATCGGGCCAGCAACCGCTTGAAAGCCGGCAAAGGCTTCTTGGCATTGTGGCTCGTCCATGAAGTGTATATATCTTTGCAAAAACCCAATGTGCGCTTTTGCTCCTGTGTGTTAGTAAAGTAAAAGCATTCTTACGCAGGGCTGTAGCCTAACAGTCGGGGAGAGGGTCAGTGAATTACATTCCCTACTCAATCAAAAAGACATGGAACAACTGTGACATCACGAAGCGGTCCACGGGGTCTGGATCGATGAGGCCCAAGAATGCAGAGGGAAAGGACCACATCCGGCAGCTCTCGGACATCAGCCAAGAAAACAGAATGTTCGTGCAAACGTCGAACATCTGATCGGCCAAGCTGTCCTGCTCCAAGACCAGTGCTGAGCCAGTGGTGAGCTTATCGTACATTGCGTTACCGATAAAGTTCTCGACCAGAAGGCCTCCTTTACTGAGTCGGACAGGATCGGACAAGGGGCTCAGGAGGTTGGACAGGTGCGAGAGGATGCCCTTGCCGCTAGCCATCCCAAGATTGTAGCTCTGACAAGAGGGTCGGTCACGCAGACTTGTCCTTGTCTCTGCGTACCAGTCTCGGGCAGCCTTGCTGGCCTCGAGAATGAAGATGGCCGTCCTCATGAGGGACTCGCTTGCCAAGACGGCCTTGGATTCGGGATATTTCTAGTCGGCCAGGGTCATTTTAAACCATACTTATATAAGAGAGTTCGTGGTCTGCTTTTTGGGCCTCACATACAGTTGCAGATTGTACTCAAACAGAATATTAGGGCCATTAGGGCAGGTACACATACGTATGCTTTGGGCCGGCTTGTCATGTTTCGATGTGGCTATCCTTCAGTTTCGGCTAGGGTTCAGTCCAGTTTGGAATCACAATGTTCGACAGGACTATTCGGAGATCGGCAAGGATGCGATGTCCTCTCTTGCAAAGAATGTGGCTGTGTAGTGACAACCCTCTTCGATTGAAACTATGCTGCAAGCAAGCATCTGCACTGAACCTCCCCTTCGAAAAATGAACTGAACAATCGAATGACTGTGACTGCACTGCGACTGCGATCCTGAACTGTCAAAGTACGTAGTACCCTGGGCCTCCTTTTTTGCAATTCTGTCGATGGCTGCTGCCAGCAAAAATTGAGCTCAGGAATCCGACTACATTGCTCGGTCAGCTTGTGTGGATTGGTTTAAGGTACGAGGCGAACGATATTGTTTCTGTGTGAAGGCCCAAAATTGGGCCTGAGGGCCAAGCAAATGATTCGGACATTGGTGCAAGACTGCTGTCTTTAAGAGCCTGGTGAACCAGTGTAGTTAAAATCATCGAACTTCCTCCTCTTCACAGGGGGCGTGCAAAAGATGTCGCCCTGCTGGTCCTGGTTCGTCTGCGGCTTCGAGGAGCTGGACTCGGACATGGGCTCGGTCACTGTGTCAGTGTCAGGCAAGCGCAGCTGGCTCTTGGCTTGTGTCTTTGTCAATGCTCCCGGCGACAACAAGGAGAGTGTGGGGTCGGACGACCGAGGCGTGAAGAAGACGTGGATGTGGGAAAGCTGGTAGTCATCTCGGTCATGTGGGACCAGCTTGAAGGCACGGTCCAACAAGTTCTCCACGGTCTCTGCCTTTGTCGGCACAGCCCCCATTGGCTGCTTCTCGCAAAACACAAACACGCCTTTCATTTCATAAGGCATGCCCTGGGCCATGGCAGTCAGACAGAGGGAGCTAGCAACTCGGACAAGTGGGCAACAAGGCTTCTTCGGCCAAGAAGAGCAACTGCAGCAAAAAGTTTCCCAGCATGCAGGATTGTGTCATGTGACATCCACACTTAACATTGCCGTGCCTAAATCGAAATTCGGACACTCCAAGGCCCTTTAATCTACAATGGCAACTCAAGGTCGACTGAAATCAAGCCTACTCAACTGAACTCAACTCACCAATTGTTTTGAACTCACCAATGCAGCCTAGTTGCGGTGACGGCGTGCAAGGTATTCTTGCACTTGGACTGCAAAGTCGACCGTCTCAAGCGCTCCTGGCGCATGTTTCCGTCGGGCAAGTCGGTCACCTCGGAAGTGGACCCGCACAAGTCCTTCAGCTTGCAGCTCTCGGCTGTCTTCCCGCAAGTCAAGTAGCCCATTTCCACCCCGTGGAACAGCAAGAGTAAAAACTGCAAATGCATGTCGGTCGGGTTCTCCAGTCGGGCCAGGAAAGCGTCCTGCCAGCTGAACCAACGAGAAGGCTGGACTGCGAGACCACGCCTCCAGAGAGTGCTGAAATTGCCTTCTTTCAGGTCAGACAGCAGTGTCTGCAGGGTGAGGTCGGACAAACCAAATCGGCTGCATCGGGCGGCTATGACATTCAAAAGAGGATCGCCTACTTGCACCATGGCCTTGAACTCTTTCCACGATTCCTGCACAGTGCAAAACCACTTCTCGGAATTCCATGGTCCATCGTTCAAATTTAGCCACAAGCATGTCAGGGAAATGGCAGGATATGCCCCAGCCGCCTTCACCCCGCCCAGAACTGATTTCCACATGGCGTGGAAGGGGTCCTCAAGAGTCCATTTCCGAAGCTTCAAGTACCCCAATTCGAAGCTGTCCACTGCAACTGGAACGGGGCCCTGGTCGGACACTTCCACCAGGCAATACTTGTCGGACAGACTGCCCTTCTTGTCCTCAGCTAGCTATAGCATGTCTCTAATGTAGTTTACCGAAGAAAGATCAGGTAGACATTAATACTGACTGCTATACTTTCATACTTCTGCTGCAATTGCTAATCGAAGTCAAAATCTGACAGAATGTACCAAGGATCGGCTTCCTTGGGCATGAAAGCATCCAGGCCGCGATCGGTCAGGCAACGCAGGGCGTTATCCTTGGCCAGAAGCAGGTCGTATGCTGCCACTCGGACAGGTGGCTTCTGCTGCCGGCTTCGGACAACCTTCTTTTGCGGCTCATCCTTGGCCACATCATCCTCTCGAGCTCGCTCCCGCCGCAAGAATGCCCTTGCTTTTGCCAGATAATCTTCGCGATCCTGTCTCGTGACATTTTCTCCAGGCTGATCTGGTCGAAACTTGGTGTCTCGAATCTCCTGGATGAGGATGCGACATACTCTTTACTGACTTTGCTTCTCAAGTCCACGGATGTAAGAATGTTTGTTAATTAATTGCTTTACTAATTGGGGGCGAATCTGCTTGCTTTGTTACATTGGAGCTTCATTCTTCATTCACAATTACTTCCCTGTATGGTGTGACTAATAGAGAGAAAAGAATAGAGCGACATTTCCAAGGCAATCCCAACCACTTCGAATTACTATGTGAAGGCTGGGGCATCAGTTTGGAGTCCTGTGGGGGAGACCAGCACGTGATCCCTTGCTCGGACATCGCTGCAACGTAGAGCCGCTCCTTGCGGCCTACCCGGGATTCGTCACCAGCAATGGAAATCACCTTCGAGTCGGCCATCTCACGCCTGCATCCATAAAAGTACCGAACAAGGTTCAGGCGACTCTCCTTCTCCTCCTCCTTCTTCTCTCCTTTCTTCTTCTTCTTGACCTTGTTTGTCTTTGCGGTTCGTTTCTCACCAGGTTTCAGCGATGCCCGGGCATTGTGCGCCAATACCTTGGGGTCTGAAAGGGATGGGCGTGGCTTGACCTTCTCAGGCCCGTCGGCCACTTTCTGCACTGCTGACGGATCAGCAAAGAGGAGAAGTCGCTCGACTTCCAGGAAGCTGGCCAGGGCGTAGCTCAACTGGTCACACACCCACGCCACTTTGCTCTTCCTCTGACAGCCCCACATTAAGCTTAAAACATCTGTGTGACTCCTGATGCCAATGGCTTTCCTTATTGCTGGAGCAAGACTTTTCCAGCCATCGGACACTTCCACCTGGTCTGTAGCTAAGTAACCGGCAAGGTTGAAGAGGCTCGGGCCACCACCAGGCCTGTGCATGGCACCTTGCCACTGTGGATCGCAGACCAGCTCGAGGCCTGTTCTGCTTGAGGGCTGACCTTTGGCCAGCTCGCCCACCTGAAAGCAAGACAGCACCTCTCGTGTGAAGCGTGTTGTCTTGGAGCAGTCGCAGGCCAATTTGCTTGGTGGCTGGTTGCAGAAGTGGAACAGAAGCTGCAGCATGGCAGGCGTGGACACCAGAGTCTCGTCCACCTCCAGCAACTCTCGGCCATCGATTCCGTGTGACCTGTCGGTTGTCAAGACATGATGATCAAGGATGGACCTGGGCCCCAAGTGTTGGGAGATGATGGCCTTCCAGGACTTCCTCATCCATGTCGACACTGCAGACTGTGTCACCTGAGACACTTTGTCGGGCTGGGCCAAGCACGTCAGAATAGATTGTAGGGACCAGAAGCAACAGCAGCCTGAGGTCTTGTATGGCCTGTCGAATTCCAGAATCCGGACTGCCTGCTGCTGTCGTGCAGAGGCGTCGGGTAATCCGACAGGCATTTGCAGATCCAGCCATCGGCGGCCCTGTACCTCGTCCAACCAACGCGTGACGATGCCTTGGGAACCTGGCAGCTTGTGGCACAGGAAAAGATCATTGGATGCCTTGTCCTTGAAAATGTGCCACTTCAGCAGTCTACTACACCAGGTAGACTTGCTGTCGTTGACAATGAACCCGAACTGACGCCTCTCGTCGAAGCGAATTCTGGCACCATCTGGCACTCTCTTTAGATGAACTTTCTCACCCGAAATCTTGTTGTGCAAGATGGCTCGGACACCGTCTGAAACCAACTCCAAACACGTGCTATGTCGAACCTCCTCACATTGTTCAGGTTTGGCAAGTGGGCTTGGAGGGCGTGGCCTCCCTTCAGGAGCCGGCCCTGAAACACTTGCTTCGGCCAGGGGTTGGCCAGGTATGGCTTCGGACATTGTGATCCGCCTGATGTCCTACAGAGATGTAGTTGCGAAAGAGAAACTCGAATGGTTTTCTGCATGTCACATCTGCATGTCATGTGCAACTCTGCATGCTTCTCATTGCAGTCGCCACCCTGCGCTGATGCCCAAACAGAACGTGCAGAAAAGTGATGGCAAACTTCTGTCTCATTCACAACTCGCAAAATTTCTGGGAAGGTGACACTGTCAGTGAACTGCAGCAATGCATAGCAAGCAACAATGCCATTCAAACATGCATGGCTGGACGGACCAGTCCCCGGGAAGCCAACAGCAAGGTCTCACCTGTCATGTTAGGGATTCTCTCGAAAGCTCCAACAGGGAGTGACACAATGGCAGTCCAAAACACTGGAATTACAGGGTTGAGGGTTTGGGGTTTTTGCATTGCCAAAGCAGGGCTCGGAACTGAGGGGTCTCGAGACAAGACCATTCTGGGCGACATGCCTCTCGAAGTTCTGGACTCTTGTTTGGGCTTTAGGGTTTCAGGGCTGAAGCTCGGTCATATGCCTGCTAATGACCAGATCTCTGTCGATGAATGTGTAGTCTTTGTGGCCTTTCTTGCGGATGCCAGGAATGGGCACATTGAACACCTCTTGAACGTTGCTGTGCCAGTCAATCCCTATGCTCTGATCCTTCAACCCAGCCCTCAACTTGCACCTGTCTGTGTGGACTGCATCTGACCTTAAACTATAAGAGCATCTGCAAGCCCGGGCCGAATATGAAAAGAATGGAGACACTGTGGAAACTTACTAACTTACAGCCAGTGGCTCCAAAACCTTAATTCCTTATGAGCCCTGTACCAAACAACACGGTCTTACTCTGCATTCCAACCAGTACTTAAAGGACTGTCGCCTCAAACCAACCAAGGCAGATATCTCCACAAGGAGTCAGCAAATATGAAATGACTGGCTATCAAGCTCCCGCCGCTGAACATGCATTCGACGTGTGAACACATCGGGTAGCAAGCAAGGCTGAATCGTGCATTGCCGAGCATCAAATGCTGCAAGGATCAAGGTTCGAACCGGCTTGGGGCTGTTGGTACTTCATTCAGGGTGCTTGGAAGAGGACCTCATGAGCGCAACAGTCCCTCGGTCATTCGTCTTCAACAATCACCAGGTTTCGCAACTGCGCAGATGTGCATAGGCTGTTGCAGCCATACTTTTCAGTCAGAGGTTGTTCCACTTTTTGAGCCTTGGCAGCTCCCTGTCATCTTAAGGTTCGTCACAGTTTAGTTCGTTTTCCTAGGCGGCCAGTGTGACACAAACCCTGAAAACTGACCTGGTCTTGGCCTTGGGACTGCTTAAGCCTCTATGCTTTCAACCACACCCTCCCCCCAGAAAAAACAGAAAAAAAAAACAATAATCCTTCAAACAGCACGGCTGGCCTCTCCTGGGAGGGACTGTGTCGACCAAGCTCTGCCTGTCTATCATGTTGGATGAGTTATTAAGAGCGTTTGGCAGCAAGTAAGAGGCATGACATCAGATCACCCGACAGTGCTACACTAAATCAACACGAAGTAACTTGTCACCCAGGCAAAGCTGTCATGCCCCACAGTGTTCAAGCATGATGATGATAGACGAAAGAAACCTTTTTGTTACCTCACCTGTGTCTCGCAAGTCTCATTGAAAGTTCCTGCGACAATGTCGCCAGTGCCCAGCGGTCATCGGTCATGTCTCTGCTCCGACAGACAAAAGAAATTCCTGCCGGGTGCTCATGGGCCAGGCTATCGGACACAAAACTGTAAGGCCAGATGCTCGGCCAATCAAAATCTCAGACACCTCCATGGCTGCGATAAAACATCTTGGGCATGTCTTCATCATCGTCGAAGAGCGGGAGGACAGCAACCCAGCATCGGCCTCATGCTGCTTCAAATTCATGACCAAGCACAGACCGACACTTACTTCGACGGTGAAACTGTAACACCAAAGCTTATAATAAAAGCATTTCCTGAATATTCGGTCAATCTGCCCTCTGCACCAATCGTGCACCGCTGCTGGTCGTGATCGTGCTTCAGGCGCAAGCGCTTTCCGAATGCCTCCAGCTCGCTGGGGCAACGCTTCTGTCGGCCAGAGATGTGCGTCAGCCTTGCTGCAGTTCAACACACCCGACATGGCCAAAACAGTTCTTCACATCGGAAAATTAGTAGTTAATCACCACTGACCTCTTGGATATTCCTGCATCTGAGACACAGGTGGCTGTCATCGTCACTGTGCATCTTGAACCAAGGGTTCAGGGCCCAGAAGAATCGGACAGCAGTCGAGGTGCCTGCTGTTGCGGCCATCGGGCATATCAAGTTTGCAGACCACACAGGCCTTTTGGACACCACTTCGGCCAACACGGCTTGCTTCTGCCGGCTCGGCAGACGACATGTAAGCTCGATGCCGGTCACGATCGCGAAGATGTGGCCCAAGGCCTGCTTGGAGCACTCCAGCTCCTGAAGCCACCTCGGCCAGGGATCCTCGGACATCAAGCAGCACATGCATTCGGTCATGAAGCCGGTGTCCAAATCCCGATAGATCCGGCACCTCCTGGCCACGCATGAAGATGTGACTTTTTGCAAATGAATTCTCTACCCGAAGCTGGTTCTCGACTATGCAAATCTAGGACAACTCAAAGGTTCCCAAAAAAGGCTGGTCTCAATGGCAGCACTTCGGACACTCTCGGCAGCTGCAGCGTGGCTGAGGATGAGTGTGAGGAAGCATCGGACAAATCTTCGGGCTCGTCCACAAGATGAAGAAGTGGAGGTGGCGCCTCAGCATGTCGGTGCTCCATCTTGGTAGTGCTGGGGGCTTCGGACTCCTCGGCCATCTTGAGTGCCTTCATTCCCTTGGGAGGCATGCTTGGCTGCTTGGGGAAGGATGGTTGCAGAGGCAACTCGGGCAGCTCTCGGGCAGCTGTGGCAATATGATTGCAAGCAGGTCGGTCTGTGTGCGGGCCACTGTTGCAGCATGTCAAATGAATGCTATCACACTGTCTGTCATGCGGTGTTTGCAACAATGCGTCTCTGCACTCGTCCCAGCCTCATCACTTAGCAGGACTCGGTCACAGGTTCTGCTGAAGTAGCATCGCAGAAATAGAACCTCCAGGATCCCTCCCTCCTCTCTCTCTCTTTCATTCTTTCACTCTCTACCTGTTTCTTTTTCTTCTTTCCTCGATTTCTGCAACTATAACTACTGGCATTGCTATTTTGGACTACTGGTTTTCAAGTAAGTCGTTGTGTCATTATTCTTGTGCCACTCAGTCAGAAATGTGTCTACTCGTCTCCGTCTCTGTCGGTCAGTGTGACTAGATGATCAATCAATGTCACTGGCATGACACTCACACAGACGACAGCAGCCATTCAAGAATCTAAGCATCAAATGCCATGCAACGTGATCATCATCCAAACATGCACAGCTGCACCATCGCCAGGAAGAAGAGAAAGAAGTCCATGTAACCTGTCATGGGGTTGGTAGATTGTGGGGGCTGCCTCAGAGAACACCAATTCGTCCATTTGGGCTTTCATGCTTGCAGCAACACTGCAGTAACTCCGACTTTTCTGCGCATGGCTATCACCCCCCAAATCTTCTAAGACACGACAATGGGTCGTCCCCATAATTACTTGTGGCCACGGTCGTGGTTCGGACAGCACGACGCTACTGGCACACACTGGGCAAGTGAATGAAATGGACAGAGTGGACAACTTTCAGTTGTCCTGGGACACCATGGCAGTGTCGGGGTCCTCGTCCACATCGGCCAAAGCCCCTCCCCAACCAGCGGGCATGGCTGGCAGGGGGGTTGGCGCATCGGGCACATCGGACACGCTGGCGCTGCCGGAGCTGCCGATCGATGTCCTGGTGCTGGCCATTGATGGGGAGGATGATGTACCTCGGGAATCTCGGTCAGCTGATCTCGGAATTTCTTTCCGAAAGAAGGGATCTCGGCCAGGGAACAGTGCGTAGCAGTTGATCCATACTCGGCCAGTCCCGATCGCTGCCTTGTAGACGTCGTTGCAGTTTCGGACACTCAGTGTGCCCACTAGCTGCTGCACCTCTTCGGGCACATCGGCCATCTCTCCATCCACGTGCTGCACCCTGAGTTGTGGCAATGCAATGAAATTGAAATTCAGAACTGCATCCATCAGCTTCCATTGGTTTAAGGACTGAGGGTTTAAAGGCCTTGAGGGCTTAATTGTTTTGCTGTCCAGACACTTCTTGGAGCCATCCTCGCCATCGGCCAGCCTGAACCAGGCATTGCATTCCCAGAATTTTGTGGGTGTCCACTGAGCTGGACAGGTCAATCGGGCACCCCAGGCAGGCTTCTTGGCTTCCAATTCGGCCACTATGGTACGCTTCCGTCTTTCGGGCAAGGCAGCTGAGGGCGTGATGTTGGTCAGCAAGGCAAAAATGTCCATCAACTCGGACTTTGTGCACTTCATGCTTCGCAAGCCGCTGAAGGCCGGGTACAAATCGGACAACATCTCCTTCACAATCTTCTGGTCCACCAATTTGTACTTGTTGCATGACCTGTGCGGCACCCCAAGTGAAAACCCTAAACCCTAAACCGAAAACCACAACAGTATTGGAAACAGGAAACATGCTGAATTCTAGACTCATCGGCTGCGGGCCAACGAGATCCTCGGACATGTGCGACTGTCGGACACGTTCAAACATTCCGGTCTGAAGCAGCTCCAAGACCTTGGCTGCAAGCTCAGGTCGGCCACTCAAGATGCCCATCAGGCGTGTGCGACTATTCGCAATAGTCGTGATGGAGATTTGCTGCTTCAGCTTCTCTGCGTCGGGCACGGCTGTCTTGCGGGTCATACGGGTCGCAACCATCTTGAAGAAATCAAACGGAAGTGCAAGGATCGGCCAGTGGGGAGTGGCTTCCAAGTCGGTGACAGCTGCAGAGACATGCCAGGTAGGAGGGGGCGATGCGCAATTAAGTAAGCGGTTACTTCATGTCAGCTTTGAAGCTTTTGAGTACATGGTGTAGGCTGACTGCTACTGTGATGAATTCTTCCCTCCCAGCATTGCCTCTCTCCAATCCCACTGGGTCATGCACACAGACAGAAGAAAACATGCCGGGTTGACTACCATGACGAGGTAGGTGTCCAGCAAGTGCAGTAAGGTTGTCCAAGCGACCTGTCATGAGATTGGTACACTCTTGCTTGCATGATGAGAACTGAGTAGTCCAAGGGGGCCTGATCGCATCAGTCACTGTATCCTTTTTTGCACGTGACTCGGCCCCACATTTCAAACGCACGACACTGGGTCGTTCCCCTGATTTACACCGACTCAGTCCTGGTTCGGACAGCACGAGGCTGTGGTCGGAATGGCTGGCAGGCTTTCAGCCCTCCTCTGACATCATCGCGTTCTCGAGCTCTGCCTCCAGCTCTGCCTCCAGCTCGGCCAAAGCCCCTCCCCAACCAGCGGGCATGGCCGGCAGAGGGGTTGGCAGGGGGGTTGGTGCATCGGGCACATCGGACACGCTGGCGCTGCCGGAGCTGCCGATCGATGTCCTGGTGCTGGCCATTGATGGGGAGGATGATGTACCTCGGGAATCTCGGTCAGCTGATCTCGGAATTTCTTTCCGAAAGAAGGGATCTCGGCCAGGGAACAGTGCGTAGCAGTTGATCCATACTCGGCCAGTCCCGATCGCTGCCTTGTAGAAGTCGTTGCAGTTTCGGACACTCAGTGTGCCCACTAGCTGCTGCACCTCTTCGGGCACATCGGCCATCTCTCCATCCACGTGCTGCACCCTGAGTTGTGGCAATGCAATGAAATTGAAATTCAGAACTGCATCCATCAGCTTCCATTGGTTTAAGGACTGAGGGTTTAAAGGCCTTGAGGGCTTAATTGTTTTGCTGTCCAGACACTTCTTGGAGCCATCCTCGCCATCGGCCAGCCTGAACCAGGCATTGCATTCCCAGAATTTTGTGGGTGTCCACTGAGCTGGACAGGTCAATCGGGCACCCCAGGCAGGCTTCTTGGCTTCCAATTCGGCCACTATGGTACGCTGCTGCCTTTCGGGCAAGGCAGATGAGGGCGTGATGTTGGTCAGCAAGGCAAAAATGTCCATCAACTCGGACTTTGTGCACTTCATGCTTCGCAAGCCGCTGAAGGCCGGGTACAAATCGGACAACATCTCCTTCACAATCTTCTGGTCCACCAACTTGTACTTGTTGCATGACCTGTGCGGCACCCCAAGTGAAAACCCTAAACCCTAAACCGAAAACCACAACAGTATTGGAAACAGGAAACATGCTGAATTCTAGACCCATCGGCTGCGGGCCAACGAGATCCTCGGACATGTGCGACTGTCGGACACGTTCAAACATTCCGGTCTGAAGCAGCTCCAAGACCTTGGCTGCAAGCTCAGGTCGGCCACTCAAGATGCCCATCAGGCGTGTGCGACTATTCGCAATAGTCGTGACGGAGATTTGCTGCTTCAGCTTCTCTGCGTCGGGCACGGCTGTCTTGCGGGTCATACGGGTCGCAACCATCTTGAAGAAATCAAACGGAAGTGCAAGGATCGGCCAGTGGGGAGTGGCTTCCAAGTCGGTGACAGCTGCAGAGACATGCCAGCAGGTCTGTCTAGCTGTCGCTGCCACTGCTCCACATGCATGCTTGAGGCTGACTTAGCAATGTTCTCAAATCATGCCGGCCGAACATCGGGCAGAGGGACTGGTAAGGTGTCGACCAAGTCGACCTGCTCATAGGCAGCAACCTGTCCAGCAGTGGAAGAAGCACGACAACATTGCCATGTCACATGACAAGGACCAACAAGGACATGTCCCTGCAATGTCATGTCGCGGTCGGCTTGCACCCCCCAACAAAAGGACGCAGGCGATGTGATATGAATGCAAGCATGACCAACTGAGTTCTAGACGCAGGCGATGTGATATGAACGCAAGCATGACCAACTGAAATCTAGTTTGACATAGGACGCGCTCCCTTCCAGTACCAATGAGAAGGCTGAAGACTTTACTAGGTCATGGTCGGTCATCCTCGTTCAAAGCCCAGATTTGCAGCATGCATGCAGACAGTGTCAGCTAAAGATTTCGGTTTGCGCAGGTACAGGAAAGGTAATTCTTCTGACCTTCTGAAGATCAGAGAATAGCATCATCCCTGCCCTTTATCTGGGAATTCCTGAGGATGACACTGCTGGGAAATTATTTAATTAGTGTCAGTGTGCCTGGGTTGCTAGTCTGAGGTCGGCTGACTAGGCTAGAGTCTATTCGAAAATGCAATATGTCTGGTTCTGCTGCTCAGGGTTCCACTAAGGCGGGTGGCAACTCCTGACTGCACATAAACAAACCAACCATTAATAATAATTAGCCTGACTGAACAGTTCTGAAGCATGGAGCATCTCAAAGGATGAATCTGTGTTGGCGGGCACAGGTTTAACCTTCAGGGCCTTAGGGGTGTAAAGTGCTGACAACATGGGCAAGCGCAGGCAGGGGTTTGGGCCCCAACATGTGTGTTCATGGGTCCAGGGGCTCTGGAACATGGGTCTCGAGGTTCTAGGGTCTTGACCCCACAAAGCCTCACCTCAAAAATTAAGAACTGCAAGAGCCCTCATGGTCTCGGCAAGCTGCCTCATAGCCTGAAAGCCGAAATGCCTAAACTTTAAACAAGCCATTTGCAACCTCCAGCAAGAATGGCTTGACGAATTAGGACATGATTTCTATCCATAAAGACACAATATCATTCGAAGCTGTCATCACCTTTTTGAGCAAGGGACTTTGGGGGCTGCCGGCAAGCATGCAACTTCTCAGAAGTAACATCAAGCAATCTGATGCAATCTGTGCTGTCATCACCTGCTGTCATCACCTTAAAACCCTAAAGCTGGAGCCGGAAGAACCCTGCTGAAGCCGCCCTGTGTGCACAGCTCACAACTTCCGTGCAGCTGAGGGTTTAGATGGTGGACATGTCTCAAGTCGGGCAATATGGCAACTTCATTCTGACTAGGTGTTCCAGTTTTCTGGCATTCAACAATCAACATGTGTTCGAATCCCATCATGTAAGGCGACTCAGTTGCTGCTGGCACTGACAGGCCTCTGCAGTGGTCCTGTTGCTGTCCCTGTGCCACCTGTGCAAGCAGGGTCTGTCTTCAGTTCTTTCTGGTTTGGAGGGAGTGGAATGAATAGTTAACAAAAAGAATTTGAGCTGTGGGCAAAAGATACAACAGGGCTGATCATGGACACTGACGGTGCAACCAAGAGTCCTCGTTAGTGTCAGAATACCCTGAACACCACCTTTTAATTCAGGAAGGCTTTTCTCAGAGTCAGAGCACTTTGACACTCAAGAAAGCTGCAAAGCTGAAGCTGTGTAGGTCATGTGACATGTGTGTGTGTGTGTGTCAGTCAATGTAAGTGGCAAACAAACTCCAAGTCAAACTTCCAGGGCAAGTGGCTTCCGACTGTTTCTGTCTCTGCTCGAGATGCTTCTTTTGGTGACGGCTGACGACTTCGACTAAGGGCCTCGAAGAAACACATTGCAAACATTCCATGAAATGGTGCAAAGTTTGACATATCACCTGGTGTTTATAATCGCTACCTTGGCCCTAGGTGACTGTGTCGCGCAAGCACTCATCGGCCACAAGCCGAGGGTCTCGGGCAGGCACTGATCAGCCATTAAATTACCCTCAAGTCAAAATCAAAATCCGATGCCCTGTGTCGGACAATCGTTGTCGGGCATGTCATCGAGGCATCTCCTTGCGCGTGAAGGGCTGGCTGAGGGTGTCATCGTCAATGAATAGCGGGAAGACTGCCACCCACACACGGCCTGACACAGTGCCAATATTAGTACTAGGCCTAAGTGTAATCTTTGCCTTCGACTTAGCATGATGTTTGTCAAGGAGCCTTGGCCGATGCAGCAATGCTCGAGGTCCCACTGCTCGCGAATTTCCAAGCCTCGGACAGCCTCCAGCTCGGGCGGCACCTTCTTCGCTCGGCCACTGATGTGTGTCACCCTGAACAGCAGCTGTTACATCACCATTCAGAGCTGTACGACTACCTCACATGCACTTAATGCTTCCTGAGCACAGATGAGGAGGCTCTGCGCCCTCGACCTGGTTGCCATCGGACAAGTCCACGGACAACTTGAACCAAGGGTTCAAGGACCAGAATTCCTTGACGGCAGTGTTCCCGCCTGCTGTGTCCATGCTTGGGCATTGAAGTCTCGAGCTCCACGCCGGCTTCTTGGAGGTGATCTCGGCCAAGATGGATTCTTTCTGTCTGCTTGGTAGGGCACTTTCAGGGCTGATATCGGTCAAAATCTTGAAGATCTGACCCAGCTCTTTTTTAGTGCACTTCAGTGCTTGAATCCACAGTGGCCAGTTGTTGCCCTCCGGCGTACTCATGAGCTGACTCAGGCAGTCCTGCATGAAGGATTGGTCCAGCCTGTGGTACTTGTTGCAGCTCCTTGCGAAATTCTGCTCAAAGCTTTGGCAAGCAACATGCTTCTCAGTGTCTGATTGACGACCTAAAGATGCCAGGCATTAAGAAGGAAAGTTCCTGCCACTATGTTCAACAGGGCTCGCAACCACCTCGGATGCCTCGGCCTGGCCCAAACTTGAGGCAGTCTCGGACAAAATGCCAGAGTCGATGAGCTCCAAAATTTTCGGGGCATATCCCTCGTCTCGGTCTAGGAATTCGCCGATTTTCTCCATCTTCTTGTCCTCAGCGACTATCGTCAGTTGCTCCTGCATGTTGCTCTTCTGGCAATCGGACACCTTGGCACTCTTCCTCCCCTTCGGAGGCATGTTGCGCAGGCTCGGAAACTGAATCAGGCAGCCAGGTATGGATCGGCCCCAGACTTGGGCAGCAGCTATGAGAATGTAAACCAAAATGGCAGTGAAGTTGTCACGCTGGGCAAAACCCAACTGCCAACACCCGACAGTGTAAAGCCTAAAGCCAATGGACACTGGAGCTGGCGTGCCAGAAGCCCAACACTTGCCCAGCCTCCTGGTTTCCAGTCGTAGTCCAGTCACTGATCCACCTTTGTGCATGTCCAAGTTTCGAGTTTGCGCAAGAATAGCAGACTGAAGCACAGTAGCACATGAAGAGTTTCTCCTTACTAACAGCTCACTCAGATGTAGAAAACTGTCTTGAAAAGATTGCAAAGGTGTGTTGTTCACGGATTGCGACAAGCAGGAGTCGTTTGTGGATGAAGAGCAACAGAACCATAATGGACAAACATGTGTGAGCCAGGTCAGAATGATTCTCATGATGGGGTTGGATTCGTTCGGGCAGGCAGCTCGGGGTGCGAACCAGGGCCGAAGCCACAGGCAATGAGCAAACACTCTAGATGCTGATACAGAGACATAAACTTAAACACCAGGGCCTAAGCCACAGGTCAAGAATGAAATGCTGCAGATATGTCAGCCACAGCAAGAACCAGGGCCCAAGCCACTGGCAACAATGAAACAAAGATGCGACACCGAGAGCCCTAGCCACTTGCAACGAACAAGCATTGTGTCTGGACCACATGAATAATATTTCCTAACCCAAGTACCAGGGCCTAAGCCTCTGTTAAAAGCACTACAAGATTTTCCAATTGACAAATATGTACATGTCTATGGCTTGCAGTGAATGGGGACACACATATTGGAGGTTTTCTTTGGGCAAAGTGTGACTTCGAAAAGGTGCCTGGCTGTTGAGCTCTCTCTGCCTGCAAAGCTGAATGCAAAACCCTTGCAGTCACACAGAAGCACTATGCAGGCAGCAGCTATTAGAAGTCCAACCAAGATGGCAGTGAAGTTGTCCTGCTGCTGAAAACCCAACCCCTGGAAAGTGCAAAGCCTGAACCCAATGAACACTGGCGCTGGCAACATGACATATTTTAGAACAGCTGTGCCTGCCAGAAACACAAGACTTGCCCAGCCTCCTGGTTTCCAGTCTTCATCCAGTGACTGATCCAGCTTTTCGCAGGTCGATTCGATACCTGAGAAGTTCAAGCTTGGCCACGAATCATAGCTGACTGAAACAGAGCAACATATGAAGAGTTTGTCCAAACAGCTCACTCAGACTTGGGATGCCTAGCATCAAGGCAAACTGTCTGAAAAGGATGGCCAAGTGGTATTTTCGAAAAAGACCACTGTTGTGTTGTCATCTCTGTAGGACGACTACAATGAATGCTGTTGTGTTTGCAAGTACAGGTTGTGACAAGCAGGAGTCGTTTGTGGATGGGAAGGGTGATGAGAAACAGAAACATAATGGACAAACATGTGTGAGCCAGGTCAGAATGATTCTCATGATGGGGTTGGATTCGTTCGGGCAGGCAGCTCGGGTGCGAACCAGGGCCGAAGCCACAGGCAATCAGCAAACACTCTAGATGCTGATACAGAGACATAAACTTAAACACCAGGGCCTAAGCCACAGAATGAAATGCTGCAGATATGTCGGCCACAGCAAGAACCAGGGCCCAAGCCACTGGCAACAATGAAACAAAGATGCGACACCGAGAGCCCTAGCCACTTGCAACGAACGAGAATTGTGTC